TTTAATCAATAGTAGATACCTTTGTCTCTTTTCTAGCTCCTAGTAGTCCTCCAAATAATGTGAGAGGGTTTATATTAAATGCTACTAGTATTAAAGTGAACTGGACCAATACATCAGAGACTAATGGATATGTGATTGAGTATGTTACTGGAGGTGTAACCAGGAATCTAGTATCTACTAGAGAATATGAAATTGCACTAACAGATCTCTCACCAATGAGTACTTATACCATCAGTGTGTACTCATATATAAATCTTCCTTCAGTTAATAGTGCAGTAACAGTGTTAAGATTTGATGGTGAGATATTATGAGAAATTGAGTGTAATTGACATCTGTTCTATAGTTCCAAGTCCAGTAACTAGTCTCTCAGTATCTAATGTCTCAACCACTAGTATTACAGTGAACTGGACTATTCCCAGTAGTGACAACTATGTAACATGCTACACCATCTCCTATACTCCATCTTGTCTCCAGTTATCATCAGTGAATGAGATGGTCTCTGTTGCTCCTCACCAGTCCACTACAACATACAGTTATACATTAATAGGTCTGTACAGTGGTATGAATTATACCATTACAGTGAGAGCTGGTAATGTACTAGGAGGATCTGAATTAAGCATGATCAGTGTACAAACTGAACAAACCAAAGCAATAAGTATGTATGACATTCATCATTGTTATTACTAATTTGATTATATGATTTTTAGTTCCTAGTGGTTGGCCATCATCAATTCAAGTAGTACAAGTTAATTCTACAGCAAATAAATTCACTTGGAATGAGGTCAATTGCTCTCAGCGTAATGGTCTAATCACAGGCTATATAGTGATAATCAGTAATAGTAATATCACATACAACCTCACCAATACTGAGAGATATATCATATTGAATGATCTAGTATTTAGTAAAAAGTATAATATTAGTGTAGCTGCTGTCAATTCTGTTGGAAGAGGTCCCTTCAGTGATCCTATTTCAGTTGGGATTGGAATAGGTATATGTAATTATATTGCACTTCATCTGATGATCGAAAGTGTTTTTGTTTTTAGTACCTGGTCCAGTTGGTTCATTATCCAGTATCATGGACACTACATGGGCTGTTATCTCATGGAGTGTACCTAGTTATATTCCACAAAACTATCCCATTATCACATATGAAGTAGGATACTATGTCATACAGTCTGGTAGCTGTTCAACAGTGGATAATGATATTGATTTTCAAATGCGAC